CTTCCTGCCCCAGCCATGTGCACTATGGACCCAGACGAGAGCCCTCACGTGTCTGTGCCGCGGTTTTCTTGCTGTACAGTCAGGAGAGCCACCTTTCTTGCTGCAGCTCACTGCAAGGACGGCTCCACTAGTGCTCCAGAGTGCAACGCTCTGCAGAAGCAGCACGCTGCGGGCAGCACCAAACTGTGCAAGCCAAGCCCATCTTAGAACTTCCCATGACTGCAAGCAACTTCAGAGCCTCACAGGAGAAGGACAGTTGGTCCTGAGATACACCTCTGGGGGTCATGACATCAGGGCAGAGGTATCCCATCAGTTATGCTGGCCAGGCACTGACTGGCAGCAACAAAACTCTCCTCTTCCTCACTCCAGTTGTGCAAGGCTGACAGGGAGAATGCTGTCTGACCTCAGCTCACTAAATCATGATCCCCACAGAGCATCACTCTCCTCTGTGACCAGCTATTTCAACTCCACATGGCAAGGTAAGATACTTAAACCTCTTCTATTTCTCAGTCTTGTCTTACACCTTCCCCATTGACCACTACCAGCCTCTCCTTAGAGCCTTCCACTCCAACCAGCCACTCCCAGCTCTGCAGCCAGAAGGCTCCCCACTCATTGCTCAGTACACAGCACTAGAAGAAACTGGGCAGCATGAAGAGGCACCTGCAGGGCATTAATGCAAGGCACTGCCTCTTGCAGTGGACATACATTGCTTAAGAACCATTGCTTGGCGACCTCTACAGTGCTGGGGATGAGAAAGATGTAATGTTTCTCTCGCTCTGTGTTAACTCCCCTCTGCTGTTTTCTCACCCCTCCTTCTGCTCCACTTGGCATCTCAGCACCATTTCACTCTTCTGTACACCCCTTTCCTTGTCGTGGCCACACATAGCAACTAACCCAAGCAACTACTTAGCAAGTGCCCAGCTAAATCTGCCTGCAGACAGCAGTCAGGGCAGGCACTCCACACTGCCCTGCCACCACACACAGCAGAAGCACCTGGGAGGAGCAGGCACACTCCATTCTGATGGTCCATTCAGCTTTGTGAGCTTTCGCAGACAATGTACAGCAGTTCTCTGTATACACTCACAACAGCTAACAAGGAACTGGTCAAAAGAAAAGACATCCAGAGGAAATCACACTATTTTCTTTTTCATATGCATTCCAGGAAAGCAGAACTTGCTAAAAGCATCAAACTAGCACTGCTGCTCTTTCTCCACCCCACACTGAGGAGGGAACCAGCTTTCACAGCAGGTCCCAAAGCTGCAGGACTGTACACAGGGTACTCCAGATTGCAGCTACTTTCATACTGCTTTGGTCCCAGCACTCAGCACTACACACTGTATGTAGCCCCTACCAGTTCTCTTGCATAGCCCAGTTAGAATATCCCACTCAAAAAAAAAAAAAAAAGCAGCACCAGGGCATGTAAATTCTATTAAACTACACATAGAACAGGTGCCCCTGTAAAGCATGACACTCCTTCTCTCTGGAAGGCACATGTAGCAGGTTCCTTAATGTCAGGTGTAGACTCAAGTGATGAAAGAAAAATACATAAATGTTTATTAAACCTTTGTTGCCATTCACACCACCAACTTTCACACCCCAGTGCCAAGCTGTTAACGAATTCCCATGCTGTTCCAGAAGACTTTTCACAGCTCCTGTCAGAAACGGGAAGTTTTACAAGGGCAGCACTCGCTGGAAAAGTCTCTGCTCTCACGACCATCAACAAAAAATGTTCACAAACAGCTGTTTGTGGAATAAATGTGTCCCGCCCAAACTGTGTGAGAATAAAGAGCTTCTTCCAGTGAGGCATGGGGCCATCTTCATATATACCTCCTGATACGTATTTGTCTCAAGATTATTTATACTAAGGCTTCTCAATTTACCTAAAGACCAGGACTAAAAATTAGCCATGATAAGCCAAGTGACCATGAGCCAGCATGTGAGGCTCCAGGCCAGGCAGCAGCTCTGTGTGCAGGCTACAGCTCATATGCTCGGACATGCGTCACCTCCTTGGGGAGCTCTGCAGCTCCAGGCTGCTGCCCAGGCAGGCAGCCCTGCGGCAGGGCCCCTCTGGGCACACAGACCCCTCGGGGAGGCAATGCTCCACCTACCCCTCTGTGCCACGTTTCCTTTCTGGCACCCAGACTCTGCCATGCTGCCGTACAGCTGGCACGTGTGAGGCAGGGCCCTACACACAAGTCGCGCACACCGCCTGCTTGAACCTCAGCAGGTCTGTAGAAGTGCCACGGTGAACCACAGCGAAGGCAGTGTGAAATTGCAAAGCAATTCTCTCTGCTGCTGCAACTCCTCTTTTCCTCCACAACTAGCTCTTTTACCTGCCACTGGAAACCCTGTTCTAAAAGGAACAGGCAAAGGCAAGATGTTTCCCACAAGAGGAAGTGAACATCGCTACTCCTCCCAGAGTCATCCAAAACAAGGCGGAGGGATGAAACACTTTCCCAACCCAAAAGGTGACAATTATTACACGCTACGTTACAGCTTAGACAGCCTTTACAATACAAAAGCTTTGACAAGCTCACATTTAGTTTGTCCCTGGAGGACATGGGGACACCTACTCATGTCAATGTTTTGCACAGCATGTTGCTCACAGCTTTACCATTTTGCAAAACGCACCTGAGGATCTTCAACTTCTCATGCAGATCCTGTAACTCAGCTGATCATAAAGCATAAAGAAGAATTAAGTGACTGTTTATCAGTGTTTAGCAATGTATTGCTAAATTAAATTAATCCCAAGCGCTAGAACAGAAGCAGACTTTTCCTACAACTGGAATGAATAGTTTTATTTTTTCCTCTTTTTAATATCAGTAAATTGTGTTCCCAAATAAACAACAATTATATCAACAATTTAGCAGCATGCTTCCGTCAGCCCTAGCTGACAGATTATAGCCCAATATTCTAGAAATTTTCTCATTAAACTCAATAATCTGAGAGACCTACTAGCACTCTGTCTCTGCCTGCACCTCATCTCTCAGCTTGCAGACAGCTAGCACAGAAGCAAGATTAATATTACAGAACATGCTGCGTACTTCAGCTTCGTATCTTAAAATCAGCATGACCTGCAGTATTTGCCCAGGATGCATAAAAGACTTTGAAGAACTGGTCCTTCAGCATGAAAGTAAATTAACTGACCAAGTAAGAGATTTGTTAGCCAACAGATCTGTAAGGTATTTTCTGTTATTCTATATACATTAAAAAATATATTTTATATATGTATTATGTATAATATATAATACAATATAATATGCATTATACCATCTGATGTTTCCTAGTAGAACGTAATTGCTGCCTTAAAGACAAGAATGCTGAAGTCTTCTCTTTTTGACTAATTACAATTAGAGATTCAACTTTTATTTTATAGATTAATTATTAGAGCAACATATCAAGCAATAGATGAGCATCTGAACCTGCTCATCACCAAAGCCTGTAGTTCAAAAACACGGTGGCCGCCTCCTCCCTGCACAGTGACTAATTTCCTTCGTGAGTCAATCTGTCTCTCCTCCTTGCTATTCTCGCAACAGCGAGACGCTGCAAAAGCAAGGTTCCCCCAAGTGAGATACTCAGCCAGTGTGGATCACTGCACTGAATGGCATGCCTGCTTGGAGCAGGTTTCTTGCAAAGCCCATTCCCCTTTGTAAGTGCCAAGAAACAAATCTTGGCCACCTACTGCAGCATGTTCCACATGTTAGCTCGCAACATGTTGAGCAACTGTGTTAACTGAGATGGATAGCACTGTCAAACAGGAAGCTGGCGCACCAGGATGGAAACAGTGGGATACACTGACCTTTTATGTTCCGAAAAAAAGTGTTCCTAAAATGACATGAAAAGTTTCATATTAAAAAACAAAACAACTACCTTCTTGCAGAGCTTTTACTACCATATTGTGTAAACAAACACATGTGCCTGAGCTCCTATGTATAAAGAACCTGTGCCTCTCTCACAGAGCAGAGGCTGACAGAGGAAATGAATCGTTATCACCCTGCTTGGTGAGAAGTTTGTCCAAGGAGTGCTGCGCTATTAACCATTGCCCGGAACTCCCGGATTCAATGCTCCCGCTGCTTCCCTCTGCGCGCACGTTCAAATACTTCGCTATACAAAATAACTAAAGCCAACAGATAAAATTCAAATCCCCAGGCAAAGCTTGTATTAAACCGCTCTAAATGTGCACTGGTTTTACTGATGACATGGAGATGAAATCAAAACCTGCAGGCTCCTCATGCAAAAGAATAAGCACTGAAATAACCTGTTTAGTATAAAGAAGCCTCTTGAAATGCAAAAATCATTCTGGAAAGATTTTTCCCAACCCACCACCTCCTGCCCGTCTCCCTCAAGATCAGGTTTTTAGATTTGTTTTTTTCAAGCTGGCATTTTGGGTAGAGAGAGGAAAATTTTATTTATTTTAAGGTTTTGCTGCTACTGGAGAATCATTTCTAAGTGGAAGGGACTGTAGAGCTTTAAAAAGGGCTCTGCAGCAATATAATAGGTAAGTGAAAACAGAGAAATCAGCCTGCATGTGCAGCACAACTATTGGCCTTAAAGAAAGCATGTGCATTTGTGTGTATATTAAAAAAACATTATATACAATGTAAAATTTTAAGAATGAAAGACTATAATATGCTGTTCAAAATGGCCCTGATACAAAGAGGAATACTAGATACCATCGAGCTGTACACCTAGAGGTTCTAGACAGCTGACTGCTTCGAAGCAGCAAGCCACCTCGTTGTGCAGAGCAAACGTGTCATGAATATGCTGACTGATCATTATCACTGTATTTCACACTTGAGCAAGATCCAGCTAATGCTTTCTAGGCAGGCTAACAAGGTAGGGCTTGTTGTACACCTAGTTTAAGATTAAGCAATCAACACAACTGATATAACCACTTCCAAGATTTGCCACCAATTTTCTTGCTTTCTCCTTACATCGAACAACCTCAGGTGCTGCCTTCTGCCAGTGCAGAGAAGAGGGAAAAGAACTTTATTGAATACCTTGTGCCTGAGCTGCAGAACTGTGGGAATACCCCAGAGCCAGGAGCGCTGTCTCCACCAGCTGGCTAAAGAGCACATCTTTGCGAACCAGAACGAACTCAGCATGCTCTTCTCGGTTATCGTATTCAAGAGAGGCGTCTGACTGCTCCACCACACAAAAGACTGGAATCATCAAACCTAGATGGAGGGGAAACAAAAAAAACCAACACAACATCAGTAAGAGAGGAACAAGAAGTGTGTCATACATCTCTGATTAAAGCTGTAAATTAAAACACCTCCTAGAAGGCTCATCTTAAGTGAAGAGCTGCCTTTCTTCCCTGTGGGATAGCTTTTGCTTTCTTTCCAAGGGAAATACTGAAGTCTCATCACTTGACTCATTTAAAAACCACACTAAAAGCTCCAGAGAATACAATTCAGGAACAGAATCACAGTCAGCATGGGATGAACAAGATTTCCTAATAAGCCCTTTTCAACATTGCAGAAGTTTTCTACAGTTCCATGAATGTCGTTATTCTTTCAGGTCAGGGCTTCTCCACATTCAGCCATATGAAAACCTGACACAGAAATGCTGCTGCTTTCCACACAGTGAACATATGGAGGTATCAGCCGAGGCTAGTCCCATACGCAGTTCTTGGCTGGGGTAGGTTTATTTGCACATTTTCAGATCACGGCCTGTCTTCTCACTGTGCAAGGAAAATACCCTTGCATTGATTTTGCTGAAAAACGATAATCTTGTGTTGGCAGCTGATGGTGCCGCAGACCCAGAGAGGCCAGTGGCTGTTCTCCTGCTGCATATATGAAGTGAGTGAGAACAGCTCTCTTCGAAAGAGGGTCAAGGATGAGGAGGAACCACAGAAGTGGAAAACTCAGGGGGTGGTCTGGATTCAATTTTGTTCTGTTTTACTGTAAATTTACTTTTGCGGTTACAGGATCAAATCATCTATGGCAATAAATTGTGGGGAATGAACTTAAAGGGATTCAGTACTACAAACAGTAGAGAAACAAGCCCATTTGCAGGAGACAGCCCTACAGTACTGGAAGCACGTGCACGGGGGGAAGATGGAACAGACAGAAAACCTTCAGGACTGGACAATCATTTCCATCACCTGCTACAGGCCAGGCTGCAGTCAGGGGGTGGCGAAGGAAAAACCATTACCTCCAGTCACAGAAATTTATAAATTGGTTATGTACAATTTGTTAGCCCCTAGATAAACTAGGAAATATTGGGGCAGAGACAAATCTCAGCCTAAAGCAGTTCTCCAAATGTGCTATGGCCTGTAATACTGCCAGAAAGTTCACCTCTCACTCCTGTTATTCAGAATGAAATATAACCATTTCCAGTAGGTAACAACTATGAGAAGTGAGTGTATTTATGAAAGGCCAGAGACAAATCGCTGTATTCCTGGACCAAGCACTTCTTTAAGGGAAAAAGAGGAGAAAGCCACATTTCAGTTCTCCTTTCACACACAGTTAAGTATCTTCAAGATCTTCTACTATCAGTAGCTTCAGTATCTACAAACCAATAGTTATATATCCCTTTTCAGAGGAGTCACCCTGCCCTGAAGTAGATACAGTCACACCAGTAACAACTGCTAAGAGACTTAAATCTTCCTCGTCTTGGAATTTGCAGAGACTAGATTTACTTTAAAATACATTTTAGGTACACAATTCTCACTTAGTGACCTATCTGGCATGAAGCGGCTCCCAGTCTGGCATTCTAACGGCAGGTCAGCAGCAGCAGCTACAAGCCATGATGTCCAATTGATCTGTTTTAGTTCTTCGTTTTAAAACACATCCTGAATTAAATGCGTAAGTAGGTTATGGCATCACATTGATGTTGCTTTCTCTCTACTGCTTGATTCTGGGTTAAACTGATGCATTTTTCAAGTTCAAGCAGCCAAATTCTCACACATAGTGTTTAAAAAAAATCTCTGAAAAAAAAAATCTCTAGGTGCTTTCCTGAAAAGACAGTGCAAGGCTGATCCTGCTCCTCTGAAATCAATGACAAAATTCCTATTCCTATCAAAGGTTAAAAACTGAATTCTATATGTCCATAAATCATTTAACTAGTTAAAATGAAATTTAACCTCTGTAAACAACAAACTTCCTCTCCTGTGAAACATACAGTCCGTCACAGCACATTTGATGGGGCTATTAATGTCTTAAGAAAAGATAAGAATACTTGTCCAAATGCTGAGGCTGTGATATCGGTTGTATAAATTACATTTTGGCAAGACAGAAAAGTAGGTGAATGCAAACTGATGAGAGGGATGCCACAGTGTCTTTTATCCTCCTGCTGGGTGATTTCCTTGTCACACAACAGTATTTCCACCTTTTTAGCACAGAAGTTGCATCTATTCTCCACACTTTTTTACTGCCTCAGTACAAACAGGATCTCAAATGCCAGAACTGATGCCGTATATGACATCCCTTTATGTACTGCACAATGTACCCACAGGACTCTTGCGCATGATTACTTTCCTGCCCCTTCCTGCTGCCCATGCTTGCTGGGACTCTGCTACAGAAACAGCTTTTGCAAAAACATCTCTGAACTCAGTGACCCGGCATAACTGATGATAAGCTGCTATTAGTACCTTAAAAACAGAGAGCAAAGGGCAGGTTACCACATCTGCCATTGCTAACCCATTCTCATGCCTCTCGCTATAGCATCTGGAGTCTTAGTACCAATCCTATTTTACTAAAAAACAACAGTAATCCAACTTATTTCCAAGTAAATCTCACTCCAAGGAAGTTCCATCTGCTTTGCCCTCTATTTTGCATTGGAAAGTTAAGCTATAATGTCTCCAATGGATTTATTGCCTCAAACTTCTCTGTTTCCTGATGTTATCTGAAAATAAATTAACATACTTTCAGTATGTTGGAATCAGAAGAAAAAACATCTGCAGCCAAAAGTCAACATGCTCTTTACACACTGATACACACAATGTCTTGCTCCTAGATGCATATATTACACCCCCAGCTCACTACAGGGCCCTTACAGAAGAGCAATGCAAGTTAGGTACTGCCATTGTCACTCCAGTTGAAGAGTTCACAGCAATACTCAAGAGACCAGGAGACCACGCATCCATAAGGAAGTCTCCGGTGCAGTGCTACAGCAATGCAAGCCAGCCTTACTCATAAATCCTGAAACTCCTCAGCTCTTTCCCTAATGCCCGATCAGCCAGAACTACTGTCATCCTCCCTCTCCCATGTATACGCACAGAAAAGGCGTACGTCCCTTCCGCACTGAACTTCCATGCATTTGCTCTCCCAGCTTTAGAGCGATGCTGCAGTGAACGATGCTGTACAGCTCATGGTAGATGACATAACGGCACTGATTTTCACACATGGAGAAAACAAGGGGTAATGTGAGGGCTAAAAAGGAAACTGTTTGTTTCCTTAAAGGATGAACACAATGCTGGAATGCAAACAAAACATTAATGGTGATCACAAATAATACAAAAGACTCCTTGATGTTAATTCACTTAACTGACTTACAAGCAGCTCTTTCATGCTTCTCGCAGAGCTTTGACTGCATATAGATAGCATCTGCATAAAATGTTAGCGGAGCATAAAACAAGATCTACATAAAAGCTTTTATAAGGCCATCCATACACAGCGAGAATTCCTTCTAATACATGGAAGAGAACAGGGGAAAACTGTTCCCACTATTACCCGGAAGAACAGAATGATGAGCAGTAACCGGTACTTTTGTATAACATATTTTTAAGACAAATCAGAGATGGGATTTAAGCTCCGCTGTTGCTTTCATGGAAAAGCTGCAATGTACAGAGAAGACTTTGTAAACACAGTTGCATTTTTTGCTGAGACTCTTCTAAGGGGCAGAGAAATTAAGAAGAAATTAAATATGTATCAGAGAGACCTGTGTCCAAATGCACATTTTCTCCTGCTTACCCATTTCAACCTACAGTTTTATTTCACTGGAAGCAATCCATTCTTACAAGTGAAGGAAAAAGAAACAGGTATTTCATTCAAGTGAAAAATCTGGACACTCTGCTGCAGAGAACATTCATTTTTACAAAAAACTTGAAGCCAATTAAAAGTATTATCAAACTGCAGTCATGCAGCTCCCTGGAAAACATTTTCAGTTGTCAGACTTACAAGTAAAAGCTGTAAATTTCTAATGACCAACTAGAAGGACAAGACAGCAGATATTAAGAAGTCCTGCACTGTTTCTTTTCTTCATTTGCAAATGATAACATTGTCCAGTGCATGCTTTAGAGCTAGTAATAAATGTAATACTACCAGCACTGAACATCTGTGCATTGCCCACTTTCACACAAACATCATAGGCTTGGCACATAAAGCAAAAAACTAAAGAACAGAGAAAGCTGAGGAGGAGGTTAAACTATTCCAGCCACCCACCTCTCCAGCCATTAAATAAGCAGCAGTGCTTGCGTGTCCTAATAAGTATAATACGAAGATCAACCAGTAAGAAGAGGCATCAATAAAGTTCATGTCTTTTTAGATTAAAATCTGTTTCCATCAGCACAAGTTTTGAGCCCCATCTAGGTGTTATTTAATTTAATCTAATTTGAACAATTTCCAAACATCAGCTTGATTAATTTCAACAGCATGGTGTTATGGAAAGATTTACTGTACAGGGGTTGTCTAGCAGGGAATTAATAAAGAAGCCAGTTCTTAGCCCTGAGTAACATGAGGTTTTAAGACTTCCCAGATTTCTAGTGGGAATACTTCACAGCACAAGCATGTTTTCTTCTGGGAGTGAAACCCACCAAAATTATTAAAAACTGAGATCAAATGGTGGTGTCAAACCCAAAGGAAATCATTCTACAGTGGAGAGATTTTTATCAAATGAAGAAAGTGGAAAATAAAGTTTTTGTTGTTGCTGTTGTGCTTTGGGTTTTTAGGTTTTGTTTGTTGTTTTTAGGTTTTTTTTAAACAGAACACAGACACACACGCAGAGTAATCTCCCGCAAAGACAAAGCAAATTTCTATGGTTGAGAGTTCAGAAACCAGGACATTTATTTGAAAATCCATAAACTACTGAAAACTCTTCATTACTGTATGCAGAAAACATTTTCCCTAGCTTTAACATGACTTTAACGTGGGTCATTCTTTAAGCCAGTCTTTCCAATACAGAATTAAAAAAAAAAAAAAAATCTAGGTAACAGCAAGAGTAGAATCCACA